TCTTCATTGTGGATGGGTAAGGGAGAACTTAGTTGGCTTAGATATTACAGCTATAAAAAACATTTGCAACAAGCAGAACTGCAATTACCGTTTTTTCCGGAATATAAGTCGCTCCGGAGTATAAGGCGCACCAGCCAGCTAGAGTGCCCTCTAGCGGGTATCAGTGTGAAAAAAATAAATAACTATGTAAATTTTCAGTGGTACAAGAGTAGCAGTTACTGCTACACAGGCCTAGAGTGCCCTCTAGCGGCCGTCAGTGTGAAAATAACAAACAAGTCAAATGTTGTATTTCAATATATAAGTCGCACCTGAGAATAAGTCACAAACCCGGCCAAAGGATGAAAAAAGGTGCGACTTATAGTCTGGAAAGTAAGGTATGTTGAATCATATGTCCGTTAACATTTCACATACCTTATTGATCCCGCTTTATAATTATTTAAATTTAATGAATCTTTAGTGGTGCCGTGACTTCGGTTGCTAAAGCGTCTGTCTAATAAACAGGTTCAAATCTCATCAATTCCTTTAGACGACCCGCTTACACATCTGACTTACACGCAGAAGGTCCTGGGTTTGAGTCCCAGATGAACCACATACTTGGCACCTCCTGTTGGGCATCTGCTGTTACCGCAGATTTTAAATAAAATAATTGATGATTTTTTTAAAAAAAAAAGAAATCTCCTCATTTTTGTAAGGGTCCTTAAGTATTTGATCTATTTTCGTTTCCTATAATAAACACAACCTCCATTGCCATTGGTAATGTGGTTACAAAAAAGAGTTAAAATTAATATCACGTAGGCAATGGGGCAAAAAAAACTAAATGACCACTTGTAGTTCACCTGTCACTTCCCCCTCACGTTCATTAACCCTAACCCACGCACATTAACTGGTTTACTCACCAAATATAAACAGAAAAAAGATACAAACAAAATACCTACACAAATGTACAAACTGTAAGGGTTGGATCTTGATGGAGATGTTTCTCTATGATACAAGGGACATCAATTATTCATTTACAAAATCTGCATAAAATATTTCAAAAATCAATTGTTTCCCAGCACAGTTGAATGTTTTTTTCTCTTAGTGATAGAAATAAATAAACTCGTTTATTTTTGTTGGTCTGGCTTAACAATGTTGTAAACAGGATAAAAAAAACTAATTACAATGGAGAGTAAAGCCATTTCACAGACTATTTTTGTTTTAATGCTGCTTTAAAAGCCCCCGGGTTTCCTAATAGATTTAACACTGGGCCGAAGAAAAGACTACAGGATGTAGGACAGAGGGAAGAATCAATAGAGATGAGAATGTTTTTAGGCTTCATCACTTAATTTCTGCGCTTTCAGCTGCATCTGAATGCTGAGTTTGACCTGATCATTTATCACATACAGTGTTCCCTATATCTATATCGCGGTTCTTCTTTTGCTCCCTCGGTACATTGCAGAACCCAAGTATATATTTTATTTTATTTAATATGTATAGTCTGTCTTATATTTCCAATACACAACTCTACTGTTCATATAATTGTGTGGGGAAGGGTGATACAGTCTAGGGAGGGTTGATAACAGTGTGGGGGAGGTTCGTAAAGGGTAAATATATATATAAATATATATGTAAATAATATAATAACTATCTCGGTTCTACTTTGTGATTTTTCCCTTTTCGCGGTGGGTCTTAGAACGCCACTTCCACGATAGGAGAGGGATCACTGTATAAAGGTTCAGGCTCTGAGGCAATATTGACTAAAACAACGTAAAAGTAGAGACTACATGAAGAATAAATCTATGATAGTTTGTTAGCGAAATCTAAATCAAATAATATGAAAGCCTGTTTCTGCTCAAGGTCCAATAGGAAAGAAAACTGATCATAGGCTGAGCGAGGGAAGGCACCTCCAAATGGCTTTTAATAGAAACAACAATAAAGACTTCAGGGGGTTCTGGGTTTATGTCCTCGAACCTTTCATGGTTCCGTCGCCATCTCCGATAAATTGGTTTAGTAAATTAGTGTTGTTCCATCGTTTGGAAAGATTGCGTTGAAATACATTTTGCACGAAAATGAGTGGATGTACAAATTAATCTGTCATCACACAGCGCTATAACGCAGAAGAAGTCTTCATTTGCATTCGCCGGTTGTAATCGTTACATTGCTTTCTTTCGTTTGTGTTGTTCTTTTTCTGAACGTCTGGCCCTCCTAGCTTAAGTCAGACTCTTCTGCTGTTTTTATGTCATAGTCCAGGGGTGTCAAACTCATTTTCACTGATGTAAATATACCATAACAGACTAATACATGTTTCTGCAATTGATTATTATTTATTCAAGCTACAAATATTGTCCATAGGTGTCTCATAAAAAAAAACCTTTTAATTACTTAGGTTAAGAAACTCTGCTGCATGGACTTGACTAAATTGCTTTTTCAGCTCCCACGGGCCACACAAAACAGCTTGGCGGGCCACATTTGGCCCCCGGGCCTTGAGTTTGATTATGCTGTTACCACTGTGTGGGCATAGAAGAGTTAAATAGATTAGATAGACTTATAACTTTATTAATTCCTTGGGAGTTCCCTTTGGGAAATATACATGTACTGGATATTAGCATGTTAGCATGTTGATTTAAAAATAAAATGATCAATTCAATTTTTGTTTTCTCGCTCATCAAGCTATACTGCCTACCTGTGCGCAGGTTACAGAGACCAAAAGAAGCAGAGTTTAAAAGCCGCTCGGAGGTAAAAATGAATGATGTATGTATTCAGTTCAGGACGGCGGAGACGGAGTTAGAGGCAACCAATGCAATGTCCTTGGGCTTAGCATCACCTAACGTCACAAAATTGTCTCTGATTAAAGCTCCAAACATCGTGTCACGGCTGCTTCTCACATCATCCCGGGCGAAAGCGGCAATAAAATTGACGGAATTTGTTTAATGCCTTTCTTTATGAGGGGAGACGATGCTTCCTGTCTCGCAGAGAAGACATTTCCCCATCACATCAACACCCTGTTATGCTATAAAAACCCCTGGCAACATCAAACCAGCTCATCAGTTTTGATGAAAATTTAATGAAATGATCCTTAGTGTGAGATTTTTCTTCCTCCACTGCTTCCCGAATGAGGGTTGCCTTCATAAAAATATCCCGTCATAATTACGGACGGTGTTCTAGTGCGTTGAATCTTTTAAAAGGCAAGTAAATAATCATATACTCAAGCAAATATGAATTTCTGAAAAGCAGGAGAAAAAGCGTGGCTTATAATAAATAATAAATGTTTGACTCATACAGCTGCCACCTACAGTACATAGCAATCTGGGGTTCTAGATAGGATTGCGGAGTTAGGCGATGTAGATAATTACAATATGTTCTAGAGGTAGTTGCAGAACCTGAATTATGATTATTTAGCATGGATGTGAATGCTAAAAACCACCTGCTGCAAATGCGCAAAAGGATTAAAAAAAAACTGTCAGCTAATAGCTTGAAGGTAGTCACAGTATTTGCATAAAAGTACGGATGGCTCCATAGCTATCAACTATAGCCCGTTGATCCGATACCAAAGGATGGCTCCATCTGATACTCAGGATCAGTCCAATATTGATCGAAATCGAACAACTATAGCCCGTTGATCCGATACCAAGTGGTATACCAAGGGGCAATTGGTATGGGTGGTTAAGGAAACGGACTTGGATCCGGAAGGTTTCAGGTTCGAGTCCACCAGCTGCCAAGTTACCACTGAGGCGCTCTGAGAATAGCAAATGAAAAAAATGGCAAAAACAAAAACAAAAAACGTTGACTGACATAGTTAGTATTCCTGTCTGCCACTGCAGTCCCCAAACGTTGACTGACATTGTTAGTATTCCTGTCTGCCACTGCAGTCCCCAAAGGTGGATCAGAGTTCATAAGCGTACAAGTAACTGAAATTAAATAAGTTGTGTGTGTTTGTTAGGAATGTTTAAACACTAATACCATTTTTTCCTACTTTCCTTTGCAACAGTAAAATAAAAATGGCCACGACAAATGGAACGAATCATTTTTCGAACCTAATTGATGGAGTGATCGCAGGTGACTGTCAGGCGTCAGATGTAACCGCAACATCTTTGTCCCTTCATCCCTCCACTCTAATCTTCCCCCATCGCCGCGTCACGAGTCTTCATTACCACATCATTAGGCCTAATGTGAATCCCACACTAGCATGAAACCCCCCCCCTCTCCCTCTCACACGAACGTCGACCTGTGTCTCATTCTTTATTAGCACGACATACTGTCTCCGTCCATACGGTCCGCTCTGTCCTCTCATCTCTCTTCCTCCTCTGATGTTCCAGCAGGTAAACAAACACACGAACCCAAATGTTACATAATGATTTTACATCAGTGCATTGTTTTTTGCTGCATTAAGTCCAGTGAAGAGAGTTTGTCACGTTAGGATAAACCAGGGATAGCTAGATCCGATACTCAGAATTGGATATCGGTCCGGTATTGTTTAAAATTTCCGATACCTAAACCCAAATGCTCGACTTCACTTTGCCAGACATGCCGTAAACAGGGACACTGTCACTGTCATCACCTCGGCAATGCCAGCCTGCAGCATGCTGGAGGACTGATATCGGTATCTACAGATTCTCCGAGTTGCAGTTTGAGTATCGGACAAAAGTTGTATCGAGCCTTCAACAGTATAAACATTGAACTAACCCTTCAACAAAAAGCCTTAAATTTACACTGCCCCTGTATTCAATTTGATATTCCAACCTGTTAACACTTACCCAAGAATAATAACTTGGGAAATTTGATTTTTTTTTTGTGATTTAAACTCACAAAAAAGTCAAATTTTTTGGGGAAATTCAGAATTCTACGGAGTAGTGATATGTTTGTAAATACCATGCAAAAACCGTGTGTCGCCAAACTGTACACAAAGGTAATTATCTGATTATCCTATCTTTCTAAAGCACCTCTTCCCCCCCTCCCCCCCCCCAAACATCCTCATTAAAACCATGCACTGAAAAAAGTGGGAAGACACTCGAAATACGCACGCTGACAATCCTTTCCGAGGTTCCTCCTCTGGAGATGGTGGTCCCGTTAAGTCCCACCAGAGAGGGCAGGGTCTGGGACATCCAGTTGGTCACCATAGCCATGGTGCTGAGCACCGCCCCGATTTTAAGCATAGGAACGCTCATTTCTTTTTCTTTTTTCCTTCCTGTCTTTTGGCCAATAAGAATAGCCCTAAAGCTTAAAAGCTCCTGCCCTGCCGTGAACCTGTCTTGGACCCAGGCTTCAATGAACTCCAAAAGGTGGTCTGCAATAATCCCCCTTAGTCAGTTCCAGATGCAGCACGGCTGGGAAAGCACAGGCACCATGTTCTTCCACATTCAGTCAGAACTCCAGCCAGTAACTGGTTCGAGGAAGGCAGCTCTCGGCCAGCAGCATTACAATGGAATCTTGCCTCTTGGAGTGAGTGACTGCCTCAGCCTCAACCCCCTCCCTCTCCTCCACACAAACTCTCTCCTTCTATTGCTCTCTCTCTCTTTTCTCCCTCTCCCCAGCCTCTTCTTGTTTCTCTCTCTCTCTCGCTCTCTCTCCCTCTCCCTCTCCGTTTCCTCAAGATGCAGCGCTGCACATCGTCTGCCTCCGGGTCTCATCCATACCCTGTCAGTCGCAGTCTCTGACGCCTTCAGCCAGTCCTGTTTCACATTTATCAGTTCTTCTTTCTTCTTTTCCTCCTGTCTTTGTCTGATGTCTGACTTTATATATATATATATATATATATATTATTATTCTCATACTGACATCCGTGTGTGAGTGCGGGCGTATATCTCAGATATGGAGATCAAGAGCGTATGCTCTGTGATATGTGACATGGTGTGTAATGCCTCAGAGCATACAAGATATGATAGACTGTTCTGCTGTCTCATCCGTATGTCAGTAGTGAAGATGACAGAACCCAGAACGGCTGGTGAACAGAGAGAGGTTTGGTAGGACGAAGAGGTATTTCCACAAAGATATTGTGCCGTTGTTTTATAACCACATTCCTTTAATAAAAGGTAGAATCCAGAATGTTTGTTTTACCCTAAAAAACAAGTTGAAGGATACTTTGATCGAACCTCGTGAAACGTGTCCATCACTGTTTGTTTATCTCGGATGAGCCTGGAGGCAGAGAATGTAGCAGCATTTATTTATTTATTTATTTTTGCACAATGAGTTTGTATAGCAACCTCTTTACATGACTTTTTTTTTCGCAGTAACCAGGGACTGTATTAAGCAGCGGCGAGCAATATTGATTCTCAACATTTTTACAACACATACCACCTCCAGAAATATTTCTATTTCTTCATAACACCAGTATGACTAACCCTAAATAAAGCAGGGATGTTTCATCCTGTTCAGCTAGGTACAATAAACAAAGAAAATAATGTAATGTAAAAAAAAAAACAAAAAACTAGAGAGAGATCTTTATTGATAATGGAAATGGTTGTGTTTGCAGCAGATCTGCTTCAACAGACCTCCCAACAGGAGGCACCAAGTATGTGATTCTTCTGGGGTTCGAACCCAGGACCTTCTACATGTAAGGCAGATGTATAAGCAGGCGTAATAACTGCTACACCAGGCATGGGCAAACTATGGCCTGGGGGCCAGATGTGGCCCGTTTGGCTTTTAAATCCGGTCCGCCAAACTTAAAAAGCTATACTAAAAAAACAAACAAAACCAAAAAATTCATTGTACCCCATGTTACAATGATAATTAAGACTATTCTATTCTATTATCCAAATTGTTTTAATAATTTCAGGTAACATTATACTTCTGTTTTTCCCTCATTTCCCCAATATATAGCACGGAAAAGGCTAAAAGCATTTCAGTATTTTAGCCTTTACGAATGACTTTTACGTGTCATTTGTCTTCGTTTAAACTACCGCTCCATCTATCTGCTCCTGATCCGGCCCCCATGTCGAATTTTAGAACCCAATGTGGCCCGCGATTCAAAATATTTGTTTATGTATCTGTACAAACCACTGTATGAGTTGCTGGTACCAGCTTTCTGCATACAATACTCTGATCATCAACATACATTTATAAAATGCTGCCATCTAGTGGCTTTCACGTTCACATACAGCTGTTTTTCCCTAAAAACTATTTTGGGCACAAGGCATTGAATTCAATTTCCATGGAAACACTGATAACAATTCTTACAGATATTACATTAGACGCCCTATATTATCGTACATCGCTAATCAAAAACTCTCACTGCCCAAATAGGAACGCCGAGGGACACAAAAGAAATTCTGAATCCTCATATTGTAAAATAGCATTCCGAAAGCATACCTCACCATCTACAGCTATTCTGGTCGAGTCTTTATCATGGTATTGCACATGTCTGTGAGCATTCCTCCAACCTCACCGGCTCATTTTGGTAAATGTTGTTCTCTAAACGTGTATCGAGAAGGCCCATACTTTAACACAAATGTCTGAAGAAAAATGACACAAAGTCAGTGAAAAATGCGTTACTTGCTATTACATGCAGTACACCTGAGCAGTGGGGTATAATTTACTCCTCCTCATGAACGAAAGAATGTTTGCCATTTTGGCGAACATCTAAATGTTACCAAACTCAAGGGCGAAACTGTGACTATGGAGTACAAATAGGTTTGTATTTAATAACTTAACATTTGCCATTTGAAGATGACGAACCTAAAACTGCACCAACACTTTACATTCACTTTGCATCTTTGGTAAATTCCCTTTTTTTTTTAATGTCAAATGCGAACCAGTCTCTGGCAACATCGGATAACATCGGAAATAACGCCATTTTCACACTCGCTCCTGAATCGACTCCCACATCTGTTAATACAGTATTCCATTCCATGGTAACTAAAGTGAGGCGAAAACACTTCTGTTCGCACCGAGTATCAGTAGTAACAGTAGTCGTAACAATTAACAGTAGCTTCTGTTAATTCCGAGCGATTGCTAAACCGACACATAAACGTTGTCCTGTGATAAGTACAGCATAGTTTCAATAGCCTGAAAAGCTAGGAAAGTCCAAATTAGCGTTAAACTTGGCTGACACGAGGAAAAGAGGAACAAAGCAATGCTACGATTTTATTTTTATTTTTTTGAGGTTGTTTATAAAGACACTCCAGCTTCATTACTCTGCAGACACTCAGCAACAAATCACCCTCAGCATCTAAATGCAATTATAGGGGAAGGACATTATTCATGCGTTATAGTGGAAGCAAGTTCTTAACTGTTGCTAACATTAACACAGGACGGGACTTTAAGAAGTTAAATGTTACCTAGAACTTTTAAGACAGAGAAGGGAGTGATCGCTACGTCGAACGCCAATCGCTCGTTCTGTTGTTAAAGCTCTGCCGTAACATCAATTTCCCCAGTGTGTGATCGTTGCAGTACACTCTAATGTCTTTTTCATAAAACTCCACCATTCTTCAGACCATTTCTGTCTCAACCTGTGGACCTTTCCTGGTGCTACCAGTAGGTACAATTGTTAAGCAAGCATACCATTCCGAGGAATCAGACCATTGGGAGCCAGTTCCCTACAAGAACGGGTTCTTGATTCCCATCCCTTCCTTCAACAGAATGGTTGGCGGGAAACTTTACATAAATAGTTGTTATGACAATAAAGTTCTGAGATGAAGAACACTATTTGTACCTGTGCCTGAGCAAGTCCCACCAAAAATTATGATGGGCGCCTTTTCCCTTGACCTACTTAGATTCATTTCCTGTTCCTTTTATTCCTTCCTTGTATTTCGGTTTTTCCTACGGTTTTCCTAAAATCATAACTATTTCTACAGAATCAATGGGTCAAACAGAACGAGATATCACAGACAAAGGTAGAAATATTTAAATCAACTTTGCCGCAGTTCCATCTGTAAGACAGTCGCAGTGTCATTTTATTTCCCAACAGCCCAACCATGTGTAATGATGATGGAGTGGCCCGCTTGGACAAAATGGCCAGGGTTCCTCCCTTTTTTTTTTTCCCTTCCTGCTCTGTTGACTTATTCATTTTGTCAGCCATGGTTGGTCTCTTCTTATTCGCTCAGTCACATCAGGTGAATAGTGCTGCCTTCTCTGTGTGGGCAGCACCGTAAAGTAATATGGGTAGAGAAACCCCCTGAGCTCCATCTAAAAGCTGTCGAAAACCTCAGCTCAACTGGTTGAGCCTGAGCTGGAATGGCATCTATAAATATGCAGCAACATTGCCCTCATGTGGTCTTTAGTGGATGTACATCAAAATAAATAGTGAATCTGCCACTGTTAAGCTGCTAAAAAAACAATAAGAATCCTCATGCTTTTTCTGACTATTTAGAACATACTTGCGAGCACTGGATTTAACATACAGGTTGAAAGAACTATAAATGTTACAGAAACATATAATTTTTAGTGGCTATGGCGATTTAGGGGGAAAAAGGGCTGATTATTGTGCATACCTAGTTAGCTGAAATTAAGCAAAAATTTAAAAGAGAGCGTGGGGTTAAAAAAATCCCCATGTCCCAATAGTTTCAATACGTCTATAATACCTATAGAACATGGACAATCAGTTTTATCTTTTTCTAGGTTCAAAGCAACATCCTAGTTGACAATAGCAACTGTTGGGGTGAAATTATTTTTGTTCATAAACGAGGTTTTAAATCCTAAATAGTTTCACAGTAAATAAAACTGCAGTATATTTTTACTTTAAACGTCTTTCCATTACCCGGTCATGTACAGTATGTAGTTGCCGTTGTGTTCACTAGGTGGCAGCAGAGGATTAAACATAAAACGCAGTAAGGCTTTAAAACTGGCCCAGACAGTGAACTCCCGTTTATTTCTATATAAAATTGATTTTCCTTTATTATAACTGATGGTCAATTTTATACCTTTTACAGCATGTGTAAGTTTGTTTATAAATCCTGTACATTTCAACAACAACCGTTGACACTCACGTTCAACTTTCAGCTTTTGAACTGTATTACGTTGTACGTTTTATTGACTATTTATGGGTGCTGTGTGGACAAACACGTCAACATAATTTCAACTTAACAATTCTGTGCTTCAGCCACTTAAGCCAGAGGCTTTTGAAGTTGATTCGTTTGTCAGAGAACAGTAGAGGGCGCTAACACTCAAAAGTTGGAGCTAGCACGTCATTAGCTTGGGAGTATTTTACAGTGAGCCAATAAAGCTCCTAGCGTACTTTTTGTAATGCATATAACAGCAAGGTTAATAATGCAGGAGCCAACATGAAGTTGTTCAGAACTAAGAAAAACAGTTTCCCCCCCTCAGACATTGCGTTACTGGAGCTGTTTTATGTCATGTAATACTACATTAGATGTCTGCAGCAAGCTAACACGCAAAGGGCAATTCATTTTAAAACATAAACATTACATTATGTATATGTTTCAGACTAACTCAGAGCATTCGGTCTTAAAAAAATTAATGACAGTGAATACAGTGCGAGTCTAAATTCGTAATAAAGAATACGGACAACAACATCAATATCATTTAAATTAAACA